CCAAAAGACCTGACAAGAACAAATTTAGAGGAGGCAAAGTTTATTTGGCACTCATGGTTTCAAAGATCTCTATCGATCCATAGTTAGCTGGCTCCACTGCTCTGGGTATAAGGTGAGGCAAAACCTCATGGTGGGCGTGGTGGAGAAAAGCAGTTCAGATATAGCACCAGAAAGCAGAGACACAGACAGAATATAAACCCCAGGGCTCTCCCCCAGCAATCTACCTCCTCCAGCCACACCCTGCCGGCCTACAGTAATCCCAATCAGGGAGTTGATGCACTGAGTAGGTAAGGCTCTCATAAAATGATCATTTCACCTCTGAACATTCTTGCATTGTTTCACACATGACCTTTTGGGGGGACTTCTCATATCTAAACCGTAATATTCACCAAAAATCTCCTTAAAAAACCTCAAATTACAGGCCGTTGAGAAAATCACAAATTAGCTGGACATGCCATGCAAAGGAAATGGAGTAAAAAAGCCCTGGGGTGAATTCTTAATTATTTGTTTCATAATTGTTACATGCTTCTTTATGATTTATAAAGGTTTTGTAGAGAAAAGTAAAATCTTTAAGGCATTTTATGATAACACATTAAAGGACTCTGCTTTTGTGTCAGCTCAGGTGTTCACGGGAACAGGAATATAGAATGCTAGTCCTTACTTTTAATTGCACTTTCATGATTAATTTTTCTTCCTGTTAAATCTTTTACACTGGTATGTAAAATAAAAAGAAATGATTATTTGATTTCCCTTCTGATGATCTGTAATGATTTAAATTGCAGATATTTAATATTACTTAATGTATTCAAACATAAGTTTGATTTAAAAAAAATCTCATACCTTGTGAAGGCAATGAAATATTTCTCAATGACCTGAGGACCAAAGGAACCATCTTTCCAGTTAAATGAGTCTTATTACAAAGGACCAAATGGTTAAAAAGAGAAGAATGTGTACATTTACTTAGCTTCTGCATGTGAAGCTTGGGTTCCACTACTACCTGTATTACTTACCCATCTTCATCCAAGTGAAGCAAAAGGGAATTCATAACATTTTTTTCTCATCTGAACAACTAGTGAAATGAATAACAAATCTGAATTTTAATCTTCACTAAATAGCTGAAAACCTTGTCTTTTGGCTGTGTTGGGCTACTGCCTCATCAAAAATACATAAAATTCTCTGTCAATTAATGAAAGAGAAAGGAGTAGTTTGGCAATAACTTTCAAATTTTCCTGAATTCAGATTTTCAGTTATGGCTAAAATGAGGCTTTTCATTCTTGCATGCCCCTTTAATAATTTGGCAGGCAACACAGTCCTAGAATTTAAGCTTCCTTTTTAGTTCATGACTATTAAATAGATAATTCCTCAAAACATACTTCTTATATTAAGGATTATGTAACCACATTTTAAAAAATAAATTCGTTTTTCTTGTTGGTATGTGTTCCCTTTTCATTTAATTTGATTATCTGCTGGTGTTGGGGCCAATAGATTTGTGAATATTCTGTGAATGTGTACCTGTATAAGTGTATATATATTTTCTTCCAGCTAATACCTCAGATGTGTGATTGTTTAATAATATATATACCACACTACATTTGCACATAGCAGGGCTTCCATTAGCAGTGGATATTCATATTTCTAAATTTGAATATCCACAGAATTAGTCCACAGAATTTCATTGGTGTAAATTCTTTCAGTTGATCTTTTTTCATATTTTAATGCAAATTCCTACTGTAAGGCCTATACTTCTTTCTAAATCTAGCAATCTGGAAATATATAAAGGTAAGAAGTGTTTCTTAAAGTATCTTAATTTAGTAAGTGATTAAAAATTGGGATGATTAGTTGCCAAGATGTCTAGTAACTGCATAGCAGATGACACCTGGCATGAATACGGGTCTCATTTACCTCACAAGATTCTATATGTTCTGATATTCTACTTTGTCACTTAAGAGCACCATTAAACTTTGGAGTATTTTAATCATTGCTTTGAAAATGAATTGTTTGTGAGATTGGATGACTATAATAATGATAAGAAATGTAATTGATATTTTGTAATTTATATTAAGAAATGCTTCTTACCTTTTTTTTGCTTTGATTTTGAGATTGCTACATAAGACTTTCTTATTTAAAGTTTAGTTTTAGTTTGTTTTAAAAAGCTACAGGTAATTTTCAAGGTATGATGGAATTTTTAATGGAAGCCTTATGTAAGTTGAGTGAAGTGAAACTGGTAAAGGCAATATTACTTTATTTGTAGTGCATTCAAGATTATATAATTAGGTTTAAAGATGAAATGTTTGATTTGTAAAATATTTAATGTTATATCAGACTTATATAAAATAAAATTTTCTGTGTGAGAACTGTTAAAATGCATTTGATTTTTAATGAATGTTCTACTGAATGATTTATGATGAATTTTTTGTCTTTCAGTCTCTGTAGTTTATCTCAATATATTAATAAAAAGGTTTGTTCTCACAAAAAAAAAAAAAAAAGCCCTGGGATGAGAATGTGTTCAGTGACCTTCAAGGAACATACTAAAAGGGAACATCCTGAACTTGAGACTATTATGTTAAGTGAAATAAACCAAACTCAGAAGGTTGAGAGTGGTATGTTTTCTCTCATATGTGGAAGCTAGAGAGGAAAAAGGAAAAGAAAGTTGGAGGTGGGGCAGGGATCTAATGAATCAAAGGGAGATCATTAGAGGAAAAGGACCAGGGGATGAGAGGAACAGAGTGAGGGCAAAAATGTTAGAGAGTGATATTGGCCCAATTATATTGTTATATTGTGTGTATGTATAAATTGTAACAATAAATCCCATTATTATGTACAGTTATAATGCACCAATAAAAATTGTGGAAAGAAAAAAAAAGAGGGAGCATCCTACAAATGTAGGTATACCCAGAGGCCAAGACATACAGGGTTGTAGAATTTGGTGTGGGCTTTGGATATTATTCTTAGTGTGACTGGAGGCTGTTGGAGTTTTGAGCAGGGAGCCTTCTAAAGGATCAACAACAGTTAGGTGAAGAAATAGGCTATAGCAAAGTCCATGAGTCAGGGTCCAGTCACAAAATAGAAAATAATCTATTATTTCATATTGGGGGAATTTTAAGAATAACAGATGTCAAAACAGAGAATGGGGTGATACAAGAGATCAGAAGCTTCTACAAATAACCTTGGCTGGAACCCATAGGGCTGAACAGCTCCTGTGCCAACTGAATATGCTATTGTCTCTTATCCTCTGTCTAATAGACAGGTGTCACCTTGACCAAGGAAGGAACTCCTAGAGTCAGGAAGAAGCCAGGTGGCATGAGAGCCTAAAAAATATTGTCTATGCATTCTGGGTCCCTGCGGTACAATCAAGGCAAGTGTAGAACTGAGAAATAACAGATAAATAACCACCAAGGAGGCAAGAGCAGAAGTAGGGAGACCATTAGGGTGCTATTGCCATACATAGATCAGGTGAAAGATGATTATTGTTTGAACTAGGGTAGAAGTATTTAGATTTAATATCTATTTTAAAGACAGCCAAAGAGAAGAGCTAAGGGCTTCAGCTTGAGTAAATGGGATGAAGAACAGTCTCATTTATTGAGACAGTGAATACAGGACGCATATATTGTATTTGGTGAAGAATAGAGTTCAATTTAAAGTTAAGACTCCTATTATAAATTCAAATGGAGATAAATAGAATGTAGCCGAACCCTTTGGAATTCAGAGGAAAGATCAGAATTAGAGCCTTCTCTGACCACTATCCATAGGATTACTTGAGCTAGTGACGGTGAAAAGAGGACTAGGGCACTTGAACACTTAAAGAGAACAGAAAGGGGCGAAAGATACAGCAAAGAAAACCCAGAGGACTCCAGTGGGCTAAAACAAAACCCAAAAGAGTGCAGGGAAAGTGGGCGGGGGCACTGTTTCTAGAAATGAGAATGACAACTGTGCCAAATGTTGCTGAATAGAACAAGAATGAGAACTAAGCTCTCCTACTAAATCTGCAAAAAGGAAGTGGGAAAGAAAACTTGAATAGTGTGGGTTCCCTCTATTAGGAGGAGTTGAGAGGAAAACCGGGATGATTTGCAGCTGAGAGAGGGAGGGAGGTGGGGGATGTGGCTCAGAGGTCGAGGGCTGGCCTAGCATGCATGAAGCCCTGAGTTCCATCCCCAGGGCTTCCCCGCCACCCGCAAAGCCCTAAAACCAAAAAAAACAAAACAAAACAAAACAAAACAAAAAAACGGTTGGGAGATGATAATGCTCATTAATTATATTTCTGGAAATTATCCCTGGGCTAGCATTCCAGGAGATTAAGACCTGATTTCCTGCCCTCGAGAGAATTTCTGAGCTCCACCTGCAATGCTAAATTGTGGCAGCTAATTCGCGAAAGGCAGGCTCGCGGTGGGGGGGGGGGGGCCGGGGGGGGGGCTGGGGGGGGGCTGGGGGCAGCTGGAGGAAAAAAGGTGGGTCCTTCCTCCCCTTGGTGGCCTCGGTGGCTGGTGGTTTGTGGCTGAGGCGGCGCTGGGCGCTGCTCTGGGGCCTGCTCTGGGGCCCACTCTCCCACCCAGAGGCGAGACCCTGCCCACCTAGGCCCAGCGCGTTCGGCACCCCCAGGCCCCCCGACTCTGTGTATTCAGCCACATCTGAAGAGCCACAGAACGGAGGAGGAAGGAAACCCGCTTTCCAGGGCGTCTCGGTGTGTGGGCTGCATTCTCTAGGCGTCTGGGTACTTCCTGCACGATGTCTGGCTCTCCGCAGCTGCTTGCCCCTCTGCGACTCAGCTCACTTCTCCAGGACTACTCTTCCCTTTTTTTGGGAACCATCCAGGGGTTCCCTTCCCCAGCCCCCGCAACCTCTTCACTCACCTCGAAACCCAAAGCCCAGCCACCTCCGCTCGCCGTCAGGGAGGAGGGAGCCGGCGGGGCCGCACGGTCACATGGGCCGCCAGGACCAATAGGCACGCGGCTCGGGGTTGAGCTTAGCCTTGCGGCGCTTCTGTTGGGCAGTTGTACGTGGCCGGCGCTGAGGCAGCCAGGGAAGTAGCATTTAGTGGGACAAGTGAGGGGCGGCCTGGGTTCAGCGGTGGGAGTCCAACCGAAAGGAGGAGAGAATATCTGAGAGGGGGGACAGCGCCTGCAAGCACAGCTTCCATCCCGTTCGCCACGCCCCAGCGCCCCGGGAGCTTGCCTTTTTTTCTTCAGGACCAGGCCATGGAGAGCCAAGTCCGGCAGCTTCGACAAGCTTTCCGGTCCGGCCGGTCGCGACCCCTGCGGTTCCGGCTGCAGCAGCTCGAGGCCCTGCGAAGGATGGTGCAGGAGCGCGAGAAGGACATCCTGTCTGCCATCGCCGCCGACCTGTGCAAGGTAAGTACGCGGAAGGAGGGGCCGGGATGCTAATCTCGTGAAGCCTTACTCCGGGGCCAATTTCCGCCCGAACTTTTGCTTTTCCCTTTATTTCTGATTATGCAAGCACTGTTGGAGTATTCTTCCCAGCAATACAAACAAAGCAAAATTCCTGTCGACTTTCCGATTCTCCTTATCCTCCAGTCTTGCTTAGATCCAGCCCTAACTGTATCAGCAGAGACCCTGGAAGTGCATGCGTTTCCTGAAGTCTGTAGTTCCTCTTCTGAGAATTTCCTTTTATATTCTTGCTCATATTTCTGTTGCACTTATGGTCCTTTTCCTTATGATTTGTAGGAGCTTTTTGTATATTCTGGACGTCAAAAGTTTATCAGCCTGACTTATAGCAGATATTTTGCTCCAGGTCTATTCTTGACTTATAACTTCGTTTTTAGTTTCTTCTGTAGACAGTGGTTTGGGGGTTATTATTTTTGCACTCAGATTTTTCTTCATTGCTTTGTGTATTATTAGGTCTTTGCTTCTCAAATTCTGCACTGACTGTCTCACCTGGGGATCTTAAACACAAATTATGGTTCAATAGGTCTGTGATGAAGACTTGAGATTGAAAGTTTCCAGCGAGGTCTCCTGTGAGACTATACTGCCTTTTTTGGAAGCACATTTTGAGTAGCAAAGTTTTAAGTAGTATTTAGGGTATAATTTTTTCTAATTTTCTATTGCTGTATTTTTTTCTAATATTTCTGTATTTTCTAATATTGCTTTCCTCTTGTTTTTGCTTTTTATGTACATTCCAGGGATAGCAAGGCCTTCCCCTGGGTTTGATTCTTCCTTCCTCAGTCAAAGACTATTTCAAGGAGTAGTAACAGTAGTAGCTATGGAATTTCCTTTGGAGTACTTATGGTGGAGAGGCACTGTGATATTAAGTAAACAAAGTGGAGTAATTAAGATTCAGAACTGCTGTAAATCATTTATTCATTCTATAAGCTCCAAATTTTTTTTTTCAGTGTGTGGTAAATACATGATTACTGAAGAAATACAGTAAGTTCCCATCTCTTAAGAGCTTTAAACTTAGTTGGGAAACAGAGCATACAGATAAAATATGAGTATAGTTATAAACCAGAGTGTTAAAGGTGAAATATTAGGATACAGGTCAAAAGCATAACTGCTATGTTAGTTAAAATGTGATCAAGGCAGGGCATTATTAATCAGGGAGGTCTCCTTGAGAGAGATAAATGTTTAAATTGAGTTTTAAAGGACTTAGATTAGTAAAAGGAGGTTTTAAAAGCATTGCATATATTGCATAGGGAGCTAATAAATTCTAATAGAGGAGTTGGATGGCAAACCAGCTAGTATGGTAACCCATTTATTTGTTACTACAGATGTACCTGGCCTGCAGCTTTTGACATTCATGTACAAGCCTATCCTACTCATTTTGTTAACTGGAAGTTAACTTCGATTCTCTTCTAACAGAGTGAATTCAATTCATACAATCAAGAAGTCATTACTGTCCTTGGGGAAATAGATCTTATGCTGGGGAATCTTCATGAATGGGTTACTGCTAAACCAGTTAAGAAGAACCTGCTCACTATGATGGATGAGGCCTATGTTCAACCAGAGCCTCTGGGAGTCATACTGATTATTGGAGCTTGGAACTACCCCTTTGTACTCACTATGCAACCACTGGTGGGAGCCATTGCTGCAGGTCTGGTGTCAGCTTATGTCTTTATACCTTTTTAGAGGGGATTATTCTCTCACATTGGTTATAAAGTAAGGATTGTGGCTAATTAAGTACATTTTCTTTGGTGGTTTGCTTTGGTTTATACCAGAAGTGTATCGAGAATTCATAAATACATACTTTTAAATGAGCTGCTGACAAGATTTGAATGAATGTTGTTTTGAAGTAACTGGGGAATGAACCTGTGAGACTGAAAGGCATCTGAGTCAATAGATGCAGGGATTTGGGGTCAGGCATCCATATTTAATGTAGTTTCAATTGCTGGCTCTGGCCTTGGTTGTACCATTTGATTCTGTCTGACCAGTTTTCTTCATACTGATAAAGGATCTGGGAGTAATACCAGCTTGGGTGTATACCAAGTGCCAAGAGATTGATTTCTTACTGTGGAGAATCCAGATTGTCAGCTTTATGTTGACATAGTCTATTTGCTCATTAAATTCTAGGGTACAGAGTAGAATCCAAGAGCAGAATTAGGAGAAAAACATGATAGCTGGAGGAGTGGGAAAGGCTGGAGATGTATGAATTAAGGGGTTAGCAATAAAGAAGGAGAAAATAAAAAGGAAGAGAAAGTAAGACAAGCTCTGATGTCCCTTGATGAAGACCAGACTTAAAACACTGCAAAAATAATTGGAATATCTCACCTGTACATGAATATCATTTTGGTAGCCATTAAAATGACTAAAGTATTTGATATTACTGTTCTGATTTTTTATTTTGTTTAGGAAATGCTGTGATTATCAAGCCTTCTGAACTAAGTGAAAATACAGCCAAGATCTTGGCTAAGCTCCTCCCTCAGTATTTAGATCAGGTAAGAATGTCTTGACCCATTTGAACACATCTGTTCATAGTGGAAGGTATACATTTGATTTTCCTGTATGTCATTGCTAGCTGGGGAATTGTTTGCAGTTTCCTTAAACCTTCAACAATTGGCTTACTAAAAGAAGATAAGTTCCAAATTACACTGTGGAGAAACCTGTCTTTTGTAGTTACACAATATATTTAGGCTTGTGGCTTCCTAAGTACGCCAGCTATTCACAGATATTCTTCTACAGTATGGTGTTTGTGATTAATCCTTGTTTGCATTATCGTGATTTTTAGATGTTTTCATTTAATGAATTACTTAATGAGGGGCTAGCACTGTGCTGGCTGCTAGTTTATTTTTGTCACTGATAATCTCTTTTGTCTTTACAGAATATAATACTATATTATTATATAAGAGTACTTCTGCTTTTTAAAAGGGCACACTTGCTGCATGAAAACTACAGAAAGTGGATTCTCACTCTGAGTTAAAGTGCTGGCATTTAAGAGTATCAAAGTCTGAATAAAGAAGATTCTTTATTCTCTTAAGAGCTTTAAACTTGGCTATGGGGTGATTTATTCCTTTGTCTGAATCAGAGGTTCTTGTGCTCTCCTAGGGAGGAAGATAGTCACAAATTTAGGACTGCTGAGTTCCACATGAAATTGTTGTGGAATTCATTTAGCTTTCAACAAGACAACTTTAAAATATACTGCCTGAATTGTACATATTAATTTATAATGGCCTTGAGGCCAACTCTGGCCCTTGGAATAACATTGTTCTCTTTGTTAGCTTATCACTGTCATGACAGCCCACAGAACAATTTTGTTCTAATAGCTGTGGTTATCCAATCCAGAAGGATGAAATGGAAGATAATGAGATGTCAAGGATTGAGTAGGACATGGAGCCAAAAGATAGAAGATTAAGGTCCTGCTTTGTCCCTCACCAGGGGTAAACTCATTAGTAGTTGACTGTCCAGGCAGGGAGGGAAATAAGGCTTTAGTTGCTTCAGTTAGCTTATTAGGCAGTCCATTACATATGCTGTGGACATGAAGCCACAGAAAAGTTAAAACTTGAAACGTGTTGTGCAGTTAAACCATGAAATGAATGAGAACTAATTAGCCTTTTAAGGAGAAGGAAATCAAATGGAGACTTGAGGTCCACAAGCCAGCTTTTGCTTCATACTCAGAACTCAGAATCTTCAACATCTCCCTCTGTCTTCCTTCTTTGCCATTTGTTCTCAGTCATTATTTTTCATGCTGTTATTGTCCAAAGTAGTCTCTCTTTTAGAGTAGCTACTAATAATAGATGCACAGTGCATCTAAAGGTTCAGTCCACAGAAACTATGTGAATTCTCCCACTAACAGATAAGAAGACTGAGGCTCAGAGTTGTTCAGTAGCTTGCCTAAGGTCACACATGTTAGCGAGTAGCAGAACCCAGAATCTGTCTGAATATACTTCAAAAGTAAGCATTCTCAGTCCCATGTTATATATACTATTCATTCAGCAGACATGAACTTGGCTTCTTTCTTGGACTAAGTCCTATTCTACAAATAGATTAAGCCATGCACCTTGGACCTGTCATGTGGTCATTGATAGTAGCCACTTTCTCACCTACGTCCTCAGCTTCTATATAACACCCTTCTTTTCTCTCATGCATTTCCCTGGTCAGATTCAGCCATTTGCTCTTGTTTGTGCCTCCATTGCAAGCTTACATAGGAAAAAAAAAAAAGGGGTTCTTTTCATGTCTGTTTCATATAGGTTTTAAAGGTTCCCATGTATCAGCAGACACTATGTCTTTTCTTCCATTTGTCCTTGATCATGTCCCTCTTCCATCTTCACAGGCACTTGTCTCAGTCTCCTGGTTTTACTGAATGTTACATGTTTATATTGAAGAAGTTGCTGATGTTAGACAATAGGATTAATTTGGCAATGTAAGAGTTCATGTTTCTCTTTCTTTGAGGACCTATATGCTGTTGTTAATGGTGGAGTTGAGGAAACCACAGAGCTTCTGAAGCAGCGATTTGATCACATTCTCTATACGGGAAACTCTGCAGTTGGAAAAATTGTCATGGAAGCTGCTGCCAAGTATCTGACCCCAGTGACACTTGAACTGGGAGGGAAGAGTCCATGTTACATTGATAAAGATTGTGACCTGGACGTTGTCTGCAGGTGAGTCTGGCTTTGGTTTCCTAATTTCCCCAGCACAATGGAGACTTTTCCTAGTACATTAATGTGAGCCTTTGCACTTGAACCCCGTGCCTTATGGTTCTAAGACAGGTCATTAAACTTTTGTGGTCAAAGTGCTGAAGAGTAATAGAAGCCTTTCACAAACTGTCTTTTGATGCCACTATCAGAAATGATGAGCCATAGGTTCTGATATTGTGTAGATGTCCTTAGGAATATTGGAAAAGTTCTTTCTTTTCTCAAGATTCTAGTTAAATCTGGTGAGAAATTTTATTGTTCTCTTAGCCAGTGATCCAGTAAGTAGATAATCCAAAGTATTGTGTGTACCTAGTGAAATTTTTAAATTTTCAGTGGAAGAGGTATTTTGTTGATCTCTTAACTAAGATCTTTTTTTTTTTTTTTTGATAGAAACCAGTACTTCTCCTCTTTTAACTTTGAATAGCATCTTGCAGTCAGGAACTAGAAAATAAAAGGATTCAGGTTCTCTTCTTGAGGGTTTGCTACCAGGAAGTGCACAAACATAGAACTCCCTCTGTGCTTTGGGTGGTGTGGCTTCCCTTTCAGAGACGGGGAGCCAAGAAGGAGGTGTGGTGGTGGGTCAGTGTTCCAGGTTGGCTTCATAAATATAATCGTAATCACCAGAATAAGAGAACCTCTGTCAACGAATGTTGTGGTCATGGCCTCTGTCCATACATAGAAAGAGTTTTTCGTCGGGGAGGGCTCCACATAGAGGCGAGTGGTCTTAGATCCTGACTGTGTCCTGCTTTACTGCCTGCACATCTTGCCAGCAGCAGCTATAGCCACAGCCAAAAGCAGCAGAGTCTGAAGCTAGCTCTTGTCATCCAGGACAGCCTTCTGACTGGAGATTAGAGGTAAAGAGGTGTTGGAAGTCTCTTTCTCCTTCCTGAGGCAGGCAATGACTTCACTGCTTTTCAAGTACTCTTTCATACGAGGTGACTTGAGAACCTTCCTGCCACTTAGAATATTCTACCACAGAAGGAAAAAGTATTTTTATAAGTTCCAGGTAAACAATTTAGAGATGAGTTTATTTATTTTTTTAAAAGAGTACCAACTAAATATATGAATACATTTTGGTTGGAAAACATTCAAATGACACAAAGTATGTAACAAATGAAAATTTGAATTTTATAGCTAACCTAGGTTTTTTCCCTCAAGACGCATAACCTGGGGAAAATACATGAATTGTGGCCAAACCTGCATTGCTCCTGACTACATTCTCTGTGAAGCCTCCCTCCAGAATCAAATAGTGCAGAAGATAAAGGAAACTGTGAAGGTCTGTGTTTAATATATTTGATTCTACCGATTTCAGTATGTAAGGAATCATTCAACTGTTTGCAGATGGCATCCCTATCCCCCTCTCCCAGGAAATTTCCAGAAGCATATGTGCCTGAATTAACTTATTAACCAGTTAAAAATGCTCTGCGTACCTTTTATAAGAATGGGCAATGGGAGCAGAGTTAGGTTGATGTAAATCCACTTAACCTGTCTTTTGATTTGTTGATTAATTGTGGTGTATTCTTAAAAAGAAAAAAGGTAAATAGCTAATTTTTTCTTTCCTTTTTTTTTTTTTTAATTGGGAGTTGAACTCAGGGCCTTACACTTGCTAAGCAAGCACTCTACCACTGAGCCCTTTTTAAATTTTTGAGATAGGGTCTTGCCAAAATGTTGAGACTGGCCTTGAACTTGTAATCCTCCTGCCTCAACCTCCTGAGTCACTGGGATTACAGGTATGTACCATCTTGCCCAAGCTCTTTATCTGTACTTTTGAGAGAATGATGCCAATCCCTTGAAGTATAACCAGAGACTTTTTGACATATTGGCCTTTGCTGGTTAAGGCTGTCAGTTTTTGTATATGTAGAGGGCCTGGGGTTAAAGGGAGTGAGTTAAACAAATACCTACTTTGTAGAGTACCCTTTAGATGGTTATCAGTTTTATAGGAAGTTTAAAGTAAAGTTCTGCATGAGGGAACTAAGGAAGGCTTCATGGTGTTATCATGAGCTGAGATTTGAAAGAAAAATGTAGGATTTAAGTTGGTGGAATGCAATGGGTTCACCCATATTACTGAGTTCAGCAGTGGGAGGGGGTTGCTATGCACCCTTACCGAAAGAAATTGTTGGAATAATTGTTGTTCAGTCAACCAGTGTTACTTGAACACTAGAAGGAAGCATCAAGAATTCCAAAGAGGCATGTATGATCAGAGAAGGAAAATTGCATACCAGGGAGTTGAGGGAGGTAAGATAAGGTGCTAAGCTGGACATTAGTAATGGGACTGAAATATGAATCCAGACCAGGAGAACATGAAAGTTGGCCAGTTACCAGGGAATATGGGATGGAAGAAGAGTAATTGAAGATACTTATGAGATTGAAAACATTGGGAATTGGCAAATTGCTTGTTGAGTATGGTGATGAATTCAGTTTCAAAGGAATAGGGCCCCTTTGTCTTCCTTTGAGACATTTACACAGTGTTTCTCAACTGAGCTTCATGTTAGAATCACTACAGAGCTGTTTAAAAATAGATTTTCAGCCCTTATCCTCCAAAGATTGATTCAGATCGTCTGGATCCTCTAGGTGATTGTGTGATGCAATCAGCCCTGAAAACCACTGTTCGTGGCATGGTCTTTGGGCCCAAGAACGCGCATTTCAGCAAGCTGCTAGGTGGTTCCTGCCACTCAGACTTGAGAGTTGCTCTTGGTGGAGGGTGGGTGAATAATGTTCATTTTATTTGAGATTAAATCTAGAGCTCTCACAAGGCTTTGAAGCGATGCAGCAATTCAGTAGTTTTGGGTTTGTTTTACCCAATAAATATTGATTGTATGCTTATTGTGATTCTTTGACCTTGGTATTTACCAAAGCTGTATTTTGATCCTTCAAGTGGTTTCACTGTCATCCAGAGAAGATACAGGTCAACGAAATAGAGTAAGACTTCTTCTCCAAAACCTGCTTTCACAATCGTCCTGGGGAAGCCCATAGGTAGATTGCAAGAGAACCTACTGGAACTATGGAAAATAATAGATCAGTTAGGGGGTATGTTTTATTTCTTACCCTAAACCTGCCAAAAAGCTTAAACTTATTGCTATTATACTACTACTAAATATTTGGGGGGTAGAGTGTTGGATTCTATGAGGATATAAAACCAGATTGATTTTCAGGCATGAGTGGATTTTGAACTCAGAGTAATTGAAAAATGAATTTGTGACAATTAAATGCTTTTTTTTATTTCAATAGGAATTTTATGGAGAAAACATAAAAGAGTCTCCTGATTATGAAAGAATCATCAATCTTCGTCATTTTAAGAGGATACAAAGTTTGCTTGAAGGACAAAAGATAGCTTTTGGTGGGGAGACTGATGAGGCCACACGCTATATAGGTAATGGAAATTTACCTTTTTCTATGGGAAAATGACAGTTTGACAGATTTTACTGACTATTACTTTATCGACCCTAAATAAACTATTATTTATACATAGCATTTCATTATTAAACTACTGAATTCTGCTTTCTAATATACCACTTTTTTTAAAAACCGTTTTAAAATGAATGTGCATATACATGTTTAATACCACTTGTGCAACACCGTTACCCTAATTTTTTCATGTTTACATGTATATTATCTGTTTTTTAAAAATTCCTAACAACCCTGAGAAGCAGAATAGAACTTTGTAATTTTCTTGCATTCGTGGATGGGAAAGTAGCACGAAGAAATAGCTGTGTCAAAATTCCGCAGTTAGCCAATGCCATTGACAACAGCAAAAGTAATGTTTTGGTTTATCATGCTTGACTTTATTATTTGTTTACCTTCTTTGTGGGTTTTTTTTTTTGCTATAATATGTATTACTTTGAATTTAAACACATTTTTCTAAAATAACATATAAAACAATTATATGACACATTTGTTGGCAAAGAATCTGCTCCAAAGAATCTTAATCTCTTAAGAGTTAGGAAGTTGCAAGAAACCAAAAAACCAACTTAAAAAAAAAAAACTTGAAAGACTTAAGTAATAAGGAAAAAGTTATTCTCTTATAATAATCTGTCCTAGTCTGTCCTGGATTGTATAATTCAGTGGCTCAAGGATACCTTAAAATCCCCTTTATCAGTCTTTCTCTTCTCCTGTCCTCTCCGTATCACCTTTGCCCTCTTCTAGCTAATAAATGGCAAAGACAAGGGGCTATCATCCGTAGCTTTGTCTGACTGAGCTGGAGCTAGGTTACAGCACCTGAGCATACAGCTATGCTGAGGAGTTGTGGGAGGCTCAAACAAGATTGGTTCTGTGACCCAAGGAAGATGTGGGCAGTGAATTTAGGGAAGCAGCTTATGTAGGAGTACTGCTGCAAAGAGCTGTCCTCAGCCACGCTGCCAAAAGAATTAAGTAGAAAGTAGGGATAAAGAAAAAGAGCCAACTTGTTATTTTCAGATGTCTTCTCTCTTTTTGTTTTTTAAATATTTATTTTTTAGTTATAGGTGGACCCAATAACTTTATTTTATTTGTATGTGGTGCTGAGAATTGAACCCAGTGCCTCATGCATGCTGGGTGAGTGTTCTTCCTCTGAGCCACAACCCCAGCCCAGATGTCTTCTCTTTTAGTTTTGATCCAGTTTATTAACAGGGTCTTCTTGAATACTGCAAATTGATGACTTTACCTTGCATGGATGCTGGGATACTCTGCACAGCTTCTTCAGCATTCATTTTGCTCTTCTTTCTTGTGCTCGTTCCCCATTGTAGACAAAATAGGGAATCTTTTTTAAAAAAATATTTTTAGTTGTAGATGGACACGATATCTTTATTTATTCATTTATTTATTTACGTATTTAATGCAATACTGAGAATTGAACCCAGTGCTTCACATGTGCTGGGCAAGCACTCTACCACTGAGGTTGTTTCTAATTTGTTGTAAAACAAATTATGGTTTATTTGTATATCAAAGTCCACCATGGGCTGGGATTGTGGCTCAGTGGTAGAGCACTCGCTTAGCACAGGCGGGACCCAGGTTCGATTCTCAGCACCACATAAAAATAAAGGCATTGTGTTGTGTCCATCTACCAAAAAAAAAAAGAATTTCTCTCTCTCTCTCTCTCTCTCTCTCTCTCTCTCTCTCTTTCTTTATCTCTGTTAAAAAAAAAAAAAAGTCCACCAAATGAATTCATATTAATAGCTTGTTGTTTTGGGTGATGAGGCCCTGGGGTTATCCCTGCATCCCTCCCCTGCTCCCTGGGGTTAGATCTGAGTCCACAGGGGTGAGTGTCGTAAGTCCTTTTGACTTACAAACACCTGTATAATAGGAAAACTTTCCACAACCCCAGTGCCAAAATAGGGAATCTTGACCACATAAGTATGGTTTTCTAAATCTAACAGAGTTGTAATAATATGCATGAAACAACTTGAGTTAAGAAGAAGCAGTATGATGAAGAGCTGTCAATATTCCCAGAAAGACCAGTTCAGGGAAAGATGTAACTATAACCTATGGTTAAATATGCATATGACCAGGAACATAATGTGAATAAGATGTATTTGGATATGTATCTTTCTCTTGGTTTGCATAAGAATCCTGGTCCACTTGCTCTGAAGATTCTTAATTGCACAGTTCTGTCACAAAACCAGGGCTGGCACATGATAAGAGGACTTTTTTTTTCCCCAGTAGATATGACTTGGGTGGGAGAGAGAGAAAGGTATGGGTAGGTGACTCAGTGAAATAAAAGTAAGATGAGAGTTTTGCATTTTTGTCTTCTACTTTAACATTTTCATTTTGTTTATTTTCTCTTTAGCCCCAACAGTACTTACTGATGTTGATCCTGAAACCAGAGTGATGCAAGAAGAAATTTTTGGACCAGTTCTTCCAATAGTGCCTGTGAAAAATGCAGATGAAGCCATAAATTTCATAAATGAACGTGAAAAGCCCCTGGCGCTGTATATATTTTCTCATAACAACAAGGTTAACTTTATGAAAAAAACAGCTCACTATCATGAATGACTGTTATGTTTATTGTATATCAAAGTCCACCAAATGAGTTTATATTCATAGCTTGTTGTTTTGGGTGATGAGGCCCTGGGGTTATCCCTGCATCCTTCCCCTGCTCCCTGGGGTTAGATCTGAGTCCACAGGAGCGAGTGTCATGAGTCATTTTGACTCACAAACACCTGTATAATTGGAAAACTTATAAGTACTAACATTTAGTGCTTTTGTGACACTAATCTTCCAGGCATTGCTGTATGAGAACCTGTCCTTGTAACCGAAATGGCATTCATAGCCACTCAGATGAGGCTAGGTAGGACACAGACCTTTGGCACCATCATATAAATAATTGTAATACTTTGGATTTCAGTTTCTCAAATTAAATTTCTTTTTTGTTAGAATGGGGAACCCATACCTTGTAGTCCAGTATCTGTGCCACTTTCTGCATGGCTCTCTCATTTGTGTCTCTGGGTAATGGGCTACTGCTAAAAATCAGTGGCCTCTTTGTGGGCAAATAGGCTTAGGTACTCTCTGAAGAAGTGGGAAAAGAAAAAGGGGGAAGATGGGACCAGTCAGTCTGAGGAGTTCATAAGCCAGGTATGTTCTGGATAGTTCTGCTGGTAAAAAATAGCAGTTTTTCTGTGACAGCTTCTGGAGCTTATGATGCTAACGAGACACCAATAGCTATAGATATTTGAAGTGAGACCAATATGCAGAGCCCAGAGAAGACTTGAGTTATTCACAGAACAATGATCTGTCATTTTGAATGAACATGGATAGATAATGTGGTGAGTGGGAACTCTGAAACCTAAAGTCTCTTGGCCAGGGTGCAGCTGAGTGGGGAGCCCTGGGTCACCTGAGGTCACTACAGCCCATATTTGACATCTGCCACGAAGAACTCTCAAGGGCTTGTCAGCACTCAGGTGAAATGATGCTAGTATAATGTCATGTCCTTTTTTGGATCTTAGGCCAGCCAACCATTTACTTCTTCAAAAATAGGATGCTAAACTTAAAATCTTAAATATCTTGCATTTCATAAAGATTAATACATTTTAATTGTATGCTACAATTTAGAGCAGATATTTTTAGATCTTTGGATTTTAATTTCTAGAAATCCAAAGATTTTAGAGAGAAATAATTTTTAAAAAGTGGGATATAATCTGAACTGTCTGTTATAAAAGCCTTTTGCTCCTGTTTTGTAGAGAATTAAGTCTATGTGGCAATCAAGTGAACAGGCTCCAAGAAAGTTCAGGGGTGCCTCCTGCAATGTATAGTTGAAACACTGGGAACCAGAAATGTTTTATGTTATTAATTTTTTTTAGATTTTGGAATATTTGCATATGCATAATGAGATATCTTAGGGATGGGACCCAAGTCTGAACACAGAATTCATTTATGTTTCATATACAAATAGCCTACAGATAATTTATGCAGTGTTTTTAGTAATTCTGTGTTTGAAAGAGTTTCATAGCATGGAATTGTCTACTTGCAGTGTCATATTGTCACTTAAAAAGTTTGGAGCATTTCACTTCTGCTCTTCAGATTAGGATGCCCAACCTGTACTTGATATGTGTCTGAGAAGTTAGATATCAACATGTTTGCTAAGTTAACCACAGTGTAGTTTGTTTTTATCCAATTGGCATGGTGTCCCTAGACTCAAGAACTCCCGCTGGCAGGTAAAGAATGTGTTTCCCTTCCACACGGTCCTACCTATGAGGAGCTCTGAGCACTCCCTGAGATGCAAGTGTCACTGACCTGGATGCCTTTGGTCTATTCCTTAGCTCATCAAACGGATGATTGACGAGACATCCAGCGGTGGTGTGACAGGCAATGATGTCATCATGCACTTCACTCTCAATTCTCTGCCTTTTGGAGGAGTGGGTAAATATCACTTTATTTGCTCATATTAAATTCAGAAGCTCTGCATTTCAACAGTCTTTTGTGCAGCCTGTTAAAGAGCTGATTGCTATAGGTCACTGCATGATTGTTCTCTTCTGAGAGAGGCCTTCCCCAGCTATCCAGTTTCCTGATTCCTTGTACCCCAGGGTGAATCTGTCCTGTCACCACTTTCTGTCCTCACTAGCACTGGCCACACTTGTGGGTACTTTGTTCATTTCATTGCTTTACTTGTTTATTTTATTCCTATATTTAGGAGATTTGAGGACTAAGACTCCAGTCTCAATTAGTGAGATTCCCTTTCTCTCTCCCTCTCTCTGTCTCTCTCTCTTTCTCTCTCTCTCAGTGAGGTAATGAAAGAAACATTTAGAATGTCAGAGAAGAGACAGCATTCAGAGGGTTTTCTGATATCCCTTTGTTTTCCACTCAAGGTAGAGTCAAGTATAATCAGCTAGTACCTGTATTGGGTCCTCAGCCCTCTGTCGGGGACGAGTGGCCTATGCTTGCCTGTCCTTCATTTGAAGAGAGTAAGATTCCCATGTTCTAGAGAAAATGGGCTGTGGACACAGCCTGGTCCTGGCCATTCCCTTTGGGATGTGATCTACCTCTCTCTTCCCCACATGAGATGATTGACTCACCTTTTTATTTCTTTGGGATCTAAGTGGTAGATATCTCTGCTGTACAGTAGCAATAGTACAGAATAACCAATGTGGAAAAATTCTCACAACAATGAGCAAACTATAGAAGCAACTATCTTGAAAGCCCCTGGTTTATTTTCTCTATATGTAATAATGTAAATTAATCCATGGGATGAATAGCCAGTCTGGCAGCAACATCTGTTCCTGGTTAAGGAAACCTTGTTCCATAGCCAAGGAGTGCTGACTTGCTCCCATGAGTGCTACTGGTCCCTTCTGGGGATGTAAACAGCACCAGCACCCAGCACAATACTGACATATGGCATATGTGAGGGAGACCTGGGGAGAGACTAGGTAGACACTACCAGATCCAGACTGGAGAGGGTGGTGGCAGAAGAGATAGGGGAATAGGAAGGAATATTTTGGGGGTCAAGCAGAATTTCCAGATGGAGTGTATGTGAAGGAACAGGTGAATGAAAGCAAGTTGGCTCCTGAGATTTTGGCTGGAACACTTATGTTTTATAGCCCAAATTCTTAAAAGATTAGACTGTTGTCTCTAGATCCTCATCTCATCCCACAAGATTCTGTCCCCCACTGTGCTACCGCAGCAAATCTGTTATTGTTTCACATGATGTTACCAGTGCCCCATTTGCACATTTAATTAATTGGGTTTATTTCCTATTTCTGCTAGGTAACATGTGGCATCATCAGTAATACCCTCTTTTTAAAAACAAAACAAACCTTCCTTCACCAATGCAAAAGCAATATGGGCTTTTTAAAAGAACTTGGACAAAATAGAAGAGCCTAAAAAATAAATTTAAATTATTCATAACCCTACATGTGAAAATAACTGATATATGTCTTGCACATATATGTGTATATGCCTACACAGATTTAATGTTCTGTGCAAAGTGGTATCTTATTGTATGTGACAAGATAGTGTGAATGCTTTATGTCATGATTTTAGTAACTGTTCCATCATATGAATCTGGTAAATTTGTGTTAGCAATTCCTTCAGTTATATTTTTGTGACCTCAAAGTTTTGGGTATTATAATTTTTTTGTAATATATTTGTACAATCTGATTATTTCTTTAGAAAATATGTCTAGAAGTGTAATCACTGTTTTAAAAGGGCTTATATATTTCTTTCCTGAAGTGAAATGCTTTTTTCTTCTAATTCTAGACACAACATAGGCTTAATGGCAAAAGGCCTAAGCAGTTAAACAAAACACAGAATGATATAAGGAAACATGCAATAACCTCTCAGACATAGACACTTAATTATGTGTATAACACCAAAAATTTTGGTATGTAGCTCAGCTTTTTCTTTAGAGTTGCTTTCAACACATCTTGCTAGTTGTATTATCACTATTTCTGTGAACAGCATAGGAATGTCCACTTCCTTATATCCCTAAACTGGATTATTCCATTACAAAGTTGCTAGACCAAAAAGGGTCTCATTTTAATTTGAACTCCTGTCATAATTAGTGAGGGTGAGCTAAAGATTCTTGTGAATTTCCTCTTTATGTCCTAAGATATTTTGTTGTGGTCACCTCTTATTGATTCATAAGTTGCCTTTTTTATAAGTAAAAAAAATTAACTGTATCTGTAACAAATTACTTCTTTCCAGATTGTAATTTGTCTGTCAGTTTTGTCTGTGATTTGAAACCTTTGTATAGTCAAATCTGTGAGGCCTCCAACTTCTAATTTGGCTTAGAAAGTCTTTCCTACTTTAGCATTATAGATATTCATGTGTAGTTTCTTTAAATTGCCTAATTTTCTTTTTATGTTTTAACCATGGGTTTAATTTTGGAATGTTTTATAAGAAAGAATACACCTTTATTTTTTTCCAAAGAGTAAGTTTGTGCTGGGACCATTTTTGTCATAATTATCCCTCTATCATCTATATTCAATAAAAACAATTACTTGGGTCATTTTTACATTTCCTCTTTGCTTCCTTAACTTTTTGCTTATCTTTCCCTGGACCAATGTGCCAGTTTTAATTACAATAGCTTTATAGTTAGCTATGTAGTTAGCATATCAAATGTGCTTATTATCTGCCAAGAGTTGAGTCTATGCACTTTAGAGACCAGTAGCTAGTAAATAGTAGAACCAGGAGCTGAGCCCAAATTTCCTGTTTCTAAAACCCATACATGCAACCAATTGAGTAGTTTACTCCTCAGGAACAATTCTGCTCAATATCTAAAAGTATATCCCTTGTGGATATTATTTTCTAGTGTTTTCTTGCCTATCACCTAGGCAAGATGAACTTTAAAATCAGTCACCATCTCCTCCTACTCAAAGAGAAAAAAATACCTTTGAGATTTCCTGGAATTTTGATTAAAATTGCTTTAATCTTAACAAATTGGGAAGAATTTAGATCTTTAAAATATGGAGTCTTAAGGGGAAAGTGTTCCATCTCTTCATTTATATAGCTGTTTTATGTCTGTCAGTAACACTTCGTAGTTTTCTTTATGTGGCTTTTTACCTTTTATTTTAAGTATTTTTCACGCCATTTTTCTTCCTTAAGTTCTTTATACATTTTCCCCCATTTCCTTCCTACCTTGGTCATGCCTTTGGCTGGCCCCTTGGCCTCTGCTCTTCCTCAGTGTTAGGGTTTCTCAGGGTTTGGTCCTGGGGCTTTATTGTGAACCAGTCTTGCTTCCTGAACGATCTATCCCTTCTTGTAGCTTCAGCTACCACTTCACCTACAGCCTGGCCCTAATAAATTGCCCCTTGTCTTCCAGTTACCTGGCCTTATTTCACTGTGTCATGTACCTGCCATTCTCCCTGCCCAGCACATGTGTCTCCCCTTGCATCTCTCAGTCTGTTGTACCCATAGTGAGTTAGAAAAATAGAAACTTTCACAGAACTGGCTTCTTAGAGGGCAAAGTTTTCACTTACTTATTCTCACCCAGCTGCATAACCCTGTCACCCTAGTCTTTGTCACTACTTGGCTTGGAGGAAGCAAGTGGGTAAATGGAGTCATGGATAAATAGAGCCATATTGGGATGATAGGAGAAGAGTCTGACATGTTCTGGCTTTGCCACTCAACAGCCACAGCAGGTTAATTAACCCTGTGAGCTCCCTTTCCCTTTCTAGAAACTGAACTGATAGAACTCAATACAGTACTGATGAAGTGAGACTTATAGAGAATCTATTTAAACTTTTCACATAGTCCCTGCTACCCAAGAAGGACTACAAATCCTTTTCTTGCTCTTGGAAAGCATCCTGGTTGAAAGGGAGGTTGATTGTGCTAAAGACAAAACTGGGGAGGATTTCTTGAAAAGAGACATTTGCTGGCAGAGAAATTCAGTGTGGGCATTCATGCAGCAGGGAGTGCATGTAGGTGTTCTCCATCTGCGTGGAGGCAGAGGAGTAGCCCAGGTCACCTCCAGTGAAAACTGTTTTGTCTCTTCTCTTTTCAGGTTCCAGTGGGATGGGGGCTTATCACGGAAAACATAGTTTTGATACTTTTTCTCATCAACGTCCCTGTTTATTAAAAAGTTTGAAGAGAGAAGGTGCTAACAAACTCAGGTATCCTCCCAACAGCCAGTCAAAGGTGGATTGGGCAAAATTTTTCGTGCTGAAACAGTTCAACAAAGGAAAACTTGGGCTTCTGTTGCTCACTTTCCTGGGTGTGGTGGCAGCAGTGGTTATCAAGGTGAGTCCCCTTTCCTCAGGAGCTGCCGGTTCTGGTCCTGCCCCAGTGGCTGCCACCTTTACTTCTTTTCTCCTGTCTTAGACCTTCTCTAGTTTTATAAATTAATTCTATCAAGACTCTACATAAACTTTTAGTGTCTCACACAGGTTCAGTGTCCAGCTTCTTGTTTTTATGAATAAAGTTCTTGGCACACACCCATACTCACTTCTCATCTTTGCCTGCTTTCCTAATACTATGGCAGAGTTGAATAGTTGTGATAGAGATTGACCAAAACTTTAACCGAAAAAGTTTGCTGACCTCTGGCCTAAGAGTTTAAAATACTGGAATTTGCTTACAGAGTCCTGAGCTGTCTAACCCTCTGATCCTTATGGTACCCGACTTCCCTCTTCAGCTTCAGTTTCACTCTTGAATGTGCATGAACTCAGCATGCCACGGGGATGGGAGAGAGCATTCTGTGGTGGACGGTAGTGGTGAAGGATATTTTATGAGGCTTGAGTGTTTCCCCCCATAATTAACTACTAGATAATGTTTGACTTTGTTGATTGGTTGTTCTAGAGATGGGCTTAGCAAGAGGCCCTTGAGAAAGCTGCCTTCTCCAGGCAGTTTGTGTATATTTGGTGTGAAGGAGAAAATCTATGGGGTTGAAAGTTAGAATGGAATGGGGGAAGGCACCTGTGTCATTGTATCCCCTGGCCAGCCAAGGAAATGCATTGAAAACATTTGACAACTTCCAATGAAGAATGGGCATGAAAGAGAGGCAAGATTCAAGTATTTAATGGAAATTAATATATTTATATCTATGTTTTGTGTGAAATTTAAAGGGGGGGTTGGCTCGTCTTACAGTAGCACAGTTTTGGTGGAACTGGAGATACCAGTTACATTTGAAATCATTTGGGTTTTCTCAGAAATACCGAGCTGTGCTGAGGAGAAAGGCCCTGTTGATTTGTCTGGTAGTTCACAGACTGCATTGGTCCAATAAACAGTGATGGACAGGACATTTCAAATCCAACTCTGTCTTTTAAGAGTGAGGTAGGAACTCCTTATTTTCTTTCTATGCATATGGTAGGACAAGTTTTTGGGTATTTTTTATTTTGTTTTGTTTTTTGGTACTTGTTTTTCTCCAATTGGAGGCTTAGGGTTACTGAAAGTAGAGTGTTTAAACTTACCCGTCTCGTTTCAGACTTTGCCGAGAGTATTGAAGTGTTAAAATTCACCTTACTCACAGATTTAAATAGGACAGGGTGGGTCACTGGGAATCTAAGAGAAATGTATAGGGGCAACTACTGAGCCTACATCATTTCTAGAAAAAGAATGGCCATCTATGAGCCTCATTTCTCTTCCCTACACACTCAGCTTTCCTGGAGGAAAGGCCAGCTCTTTCAGACCTGTAGTCACCGTTTAGACTTTGAACTCCATTTCATTATTTAAGAATAATTTTTAAATCATTCGGTTGTTCAGATTAGCTTTGAGTTTTTAAAAAAGTTTGACTTTGGAATTCATAGTGACAAATGTATTGAATCAAATATAACTTGCAATTTAGATGGTTTCTACTTTTACTTCTATAATCATCCCTAGGGTGGAGATGTGGTTGGAGCCAGGCTTGGGTTTCTGGTTCTTATCTGCCTATTTTGCTCTTCTCCTGAGACAATGATCCCCTAGCCTCATATGCATCTTGATCGGGGTGGAATTTTTCAGCCTATTGGACAATATGGAAAACCAGGCTGGGTCTGTGCTCCCCAGGCTCATGCTGTCGCCAGAAGGCTTGCCCAGGTGCAGTGTACTGTACCAAGTAGGTTTGAATTCACAAGAAGGGTTTGGCAGTCAGGTCTTCCTCTGTGCAGATCTAGAGAAGCAATAACATAGCTGGGAACAAGAATTTGTGAGTTTGATTCTTGGCTCAGTTATTGGCTTAATTAAGACTTTGATCAAGGTCTTTCCTGAGCCCTCACTTGGGCCTGAGCTATACAGTGCAGAAGTGGGCATTGGTGACTTTCTAGGCTACTTTAAACTCTCTCTCCACGCTCCTTACTACTAACTGACACATTTGTTGCTTTTTGTTTGATTCACTATTGGTAGGACCAGTGAAATTTGGTTTTCTTTGCCTCTTTGCTTCCTTCTCTGCTCTGGTTTCTGAGATTTTAATCTTCTTTTTATCAAATCATGTTTAATTTTAAATGAATGAATGAATCTATATTGTGTATTTACTTAAGTTTTTTTTTATTTACTTTAAGTTCTTTTTTTTTTACTTTTAATTGACATAATGTACACATTTATGGGATGTACGGTGTGTCATTTCAACACTTGTACAATTTTTTTTTCTGTACTGGGGATTGAACCCCAGGGTGTTTTATCACCGAGCCATATCCTCATTCCTTTTTATTTTTTATTTTGAGACAAAGTTACTTGCCAAATTACTGAGGCTGGTCTCAAACTTGAGACCCTATTGCCTCATCCTCCTCAGTTGCTGAGATTACAGGCATGTGCTACCACATCTAGCTACTTGTATACAATTTTTTAAAAAAACTTTGTTGTAGTTGGACACAATACCTTTATTTTATTTTTATGTGATGCTGAGGATCGAACCCAATGCCTCGCACATGCTAGGCGAGCACTCTACTGCTGAGCCCCAGCCCCAGCCCCTGTACACAATTTTTAATAAGATCAGGGCAGCTGGTGTCTGTCATCTCATATTTATCATTGCTTTGTGTTACGAATATTCAAAGCCCTATTAGCTTTTTTGAAATATACATTTAGTTGTTGTCAATTCGATAAGCCTTCATTTATTGTAATCATAAACATTTTTCTGAAATGGCTTTTCTGCACTTAATAGTTTACTCATTTTGTTAGATGTTTGATTTCATTTTATTAATTTACTAGAGTCAGAATGAATTTGGAACATAAGTCCACAAAGTTCAAAAAAAGCTTATAAACTACAGAAAGCATCATAGGTAGTCTGGGTTTGAAGGGTGGAAAAACATCATAGGTCCAAGTTGATAAATGCCATTGGCCTTTTACAATTAAATAGGATCGTACTTTGGTGGCTTCAGTGGATGGAATAACTTCATTCCTTTTTCTGAATTTAGAAACAAGTTTGCTTATCAGTTTTCAAATTGTGCAGATTTCAGCTTCCTGTTTTCAGTGCCAGCATAATAGATGAGTGTTTTCAGCCCTAGCTTTTACCTACATGCTGATTCTGAATAGAATAGCCTGTCTTGCTATTGTTACTGTTGAGGAAGGGTGTGACCCTGGGTCTTCAGTTGAAACCACACTTAGACTTCATAAGGATGCATAGCCTTTATTGTACAATACATTTAAGAGTCTCTTAAGATAGGGGGTATTTAACTGTGTTCCAAGACTGGTTGTGGGTGACTTTTAAATCAGTTGAGTAACCTAAACCACTTTCTCCTCTTTCCAGGCTGGATACTACTGAAGAATGAGTCTATTCAACCTCTTCTACTGAATTATTCCTCTATAAATGGCTAATGAACTGATAATTTTTCACTCCTACCAAAATCAGAAAATATGCAAATATGCCATGATGAAACCTAAAAGTCATTACCACTCACCTTTAATAAAACTTGCCATTTCAGCCAAGTCCTGACATTCCCCAATAATAAGAATAGTTAGAGAATTTATTCTAGATTGTGCTAGGGGCAGGAATGTGTTTGGCTAAATCCAGACTCCTTGAAGACTTGAACCTGCTCAGTGACTTTCATCCCAATTCATAGGACATCCAATCCCCTGCCCCTGCTGCCGCCATCAGAGTGAAGCTTTCAAGAGCTCAGTACTGCCTAGGGCTACCAGTAGTCCTCTGTAGTACAGAGAGGAAAGGTTAGTTATTCCTAGTTCCCTTTGAAGTTTGCTGCACTAAAATTGGGGTTGGGGGAGCAAGGCTGGGGTGGAGGTGGCCCCTCATCCATTGGGACTTGAGAACTTGACGTCCAGCAGTTAGAGCTCTTCATCCTTTTTCATTTGTTCTCTATCATGTGCAGGTAGTTGGTTGCTACAGTCTGCAGGGTTATCCATAAATGCTCTTTGTGAATAATATCACTCAAAATGTCTTGTAAGCTCTAAGGGCTTGCTAGAAAATCCTTGCCAGTTTCCTGCAAGTATCACCTGTCTTTCACATAACGTTGGACTTACATCTTATTGAAATCTAACTAGCACTTTTTAAAATGCTCTGATTAAAGTAAGTGTGAAAATATTGCCATGAGCAGTAGCATATGCCTGTAATTCCAGCTACTTAGGAAGCTGAGACAGAGAATTGCTTAAGTGCAGAAGTTCTCAGCCAGCCTAGGCAACATGGTGGTCCCACCTGCAAATAGTCTTCTCAGGACCCTAAAGTTGCAAGTCAGTGATCTTCAAGGACAAGTATTTAATCATCTGATTTCTAGAGTACCATACAAGTAAATTTCACTCTTTTAAACCTCAGAGAGGTTCCTTTCTATTCTGTTCAGCTTGCAGGACTTAAAATGGGGGAATCATTTCCTGTCACAAAAAAAAGAGGCCTTGGATATTAGGACTTTGGGGCTTGAGAGCTTCATAGGGAAGAGAGAGTGGATAATATAGAGAAGTTTAGAGAATGCTGTTTAAGTGAGTTGGCCATACTAAAAAGAATGGAAAAGGGTAAGAGGATCTCCTGAACAAATGGGTAGATCTTCTCTCTAGAGCCTTGCATCACCAAGGCCTGAGGTCCCCCATCCAAGAGGGAAAGTGCCAAAGGAGGCCTATGTGGAACGGGGTGTTCTCTCCAGGGAATGCTTTGCTGTGCCTTGGAGCTCCTGGTTGCAGGACCTCAGTTCCTTTCCTTGAATTTGAAAAAGAGACTTGGCCCACTCAATGACAAAATATAATTTGCACTATCAAATGTATAATCAATTTTGTTAAGTAATTTGTTCCATTAAGGCTGTCTGCAGTATGGTATATCTTTATCATCTCACAAGGTGTCAAGAATTAATCACTGGCCTAATTTAGGAAAACAGTTACTTAAACTGTGGTTCTGATAGAATGATCAATCATAGAATATCTTACATAAAATTTCAATATGGAATTCTCATTTAGTATATTGTATTTTGTAATTTCTAGTTAAGCTAAATTATTGGCTTATCTACTAATATATTCTCTAAAATAAATGGTTATATTTCATAAAACTGACATGAATTTTGATATCATTTTTCATGTGGAACCTCGGACATTCCTGTTGGAGATGATCCTTTGATTGTAAGTTTTCTTCATTTTTTGCTCTTGTCTACCAAAGGTGGTATTTATTAACTCTCTTTATTGTGCTTTCTCATTTTAAATTCTTAGCCAAGAAAATTTTCTCAGACTTTGGTTTCTGGTTACTTGGGGTGGAGTTGTGGGGGTGGGTGCAGAGAGGGAGAGGGAGAAGGAGAAGAGAGATACTGATTGGTGGCTACCTGTGGCCTGATTCACCATTGAACCCAAAGATATTCACCAATTCCAGGCCTCAAAAGCATCCAGGAATTTGGATCAGCACTGGATCCCATCCTGAGGCTCTGTGGCAAAATCATCTTTACTGCTCTGGTTTATATCATATCACTGCTGTAAGAAAAAAAAAAAACTGCAATGTGAGCGAGTACTTCTCCAAGTCCGTGATACTGAAAATGTTAGTGGGATGAAAGACTGCAGATCCACAGACAACCCCTGCCCCTGCCAGGGCCTTAAAGCACCCATGCCTGCAGGGGGCTGAGGGGTCCCCTGGGCAGGACGCACCGCCCGCTTCTCAGAGGGTTATAGAGGCTCTGTGAATAGACAGGCATCAGGCTGTGCCTAGAACAAGTCTAGGCACAACTTATAATGTTAGTGGTTTTTGCAATTTTTGTTTTATTTGAATCTTTAACTTGAAGCCATTTATATTCTGTGTGCTGTGTGTGTGTGTGTGTGTGTGTGTGTGTGTTTTACTGGGAGTAAACCCAGAGGTGTTCTATGAATGAGATGCATCCCCAGCTCCTTTTATTTTTTGAGACAGGGTCTAAGTTGAGAAGTGAAAGCTGCCTGCTTAAAACACTTATCCAAGAGGATGATGGGCAAGTAATTTCATTACCTTATCTAAAATCTAAGCACACTCATGGGTACTTATCTGGTTTCAGGCTAGTCGGGTTGAGCTTTTTACTTTGATTTTCAGTAGGTCGGCCATCACAGAAAGGCTTGGGTTTTACGTTTCTCTTTGTAACTATGGAGGGTGCTTATACTGGCCAACCACAATGTCAGGAATAGAGGCTGAGGCTCCAGTGGCCCCTTCACATTCCCCCCAGCTTACACCCCAGACCACTGCCAAGTCCTGATGCATTCAGGCACTTCCAGCTGAACAGTCACTACCCATGCTGGTCAGGGGCAACCGACTCACTCACCTCCTCTGCAGCTAGCTTTCTGTCCAACTGGAAGGGATAGGTTTTTTTTAAAAAAAGTAAAAAGTGTCACAGGCCAGCATTCCTATCCAGAGGCCTGTTGGAGACAAGTGCCAAAGTACATGTCAGGTGACCACCCCAAGCCTCTCCTGACTTCCTAGCACCACATGCCACAATTCTTATTCCAATCACAAAGATTAGCAGAGTGCCCAGAGGGAGCGGATGATACATCATATACTTCAGTGTTCACAGTGGCTCCAAAAGGATTGCTTCCCAGGTACTGTGCTGCAGGTATGCTGGGAGAGTGACAAGGGACAAGAGCCCCAACAGTTTACATGGCATTGCTTTATTTGTATCACTTAATTCAAACCCCGAGGAGGCTGTCATAGGGAGACCTGATCTAATGCATGAACATAGAATAGTGTGTTTTAGACAAAGATCCCGAGTCCCCACACTTAACCTTCTAGTGTTTTAGCTCATTAGAATGTAAAGGTGGAACCAGTGGCCAACCACCAGCTGGTCTGGGAGACAGGACTAACTTCACATGGGGAAGACATGGTATATTGGCTTCCTGCGGCTGTTCTAGCAATGACTACAAACATTATTTTACAGTTCTGTAGGTTAGAAGTTCAAAGTGGGTCTCACTGTATGTCAAGGACTGTCTTCTGCTAGAGTCCTCAGGTTAAATCTTTTTCTGCCTGTTCCAACTTCTAGAAGCTGCCTGCATTCCTTGACCTGTGGCCTCCATTACGTCAACTTCTTCCACCCTTACATCTTGGGCTCTGGCCATCCCACTTCCTTATAAAGATCTTTGTGATTAGATACGGTGGTTTACACCTGTAAGTACCCATGAGTGTGCTTGGATTTTAGATAAGGTGGTTCACACCTATAACCCCAGCAGCTCAAGGGAGCTGAGGCAGGAGGATCTTGAGTTTGAGGTCAGCCTCCCTCAGCAACCTATCGAGGGTGTAAGTAACTTAGTGAGACCCTGTCTCAAAATAAAAATAAAATGGGCTGAGGATGTGGCTCAGTGATTAAGCACCCCTGAGTTCAAACCTTGGTATCCTCCCTCTACCAAAAAAACCCTTCATGATTATTTTAAACCCATCTGGATAATCCAGAATAATTTTTGTATCTCAAGATTCTTATCACATCTGCAATGTCCCATTTGCTATATGATACTCAGGTTCTGAATATTGGGATGTGGATATCTTTGGGGGCCTTTATTCTGTCTGCCACATGTGGCAAGATAGATGGTATCTTAGTCCATATGCAGTAGGTAGCCCTTGCCCATTGAAGTCCATGAGCATGTCTCATCTCACAAACAAAAACTGCTTTGCAAAAAGTACTCTTTGCTTTATTTGGTTAATCTTTTTCTCCCAATTTGATCCCAGATGAAATAAACCAAGGAACTACAGACATAGTTTATGTCAAATGGCACTATTTACCAGTAGTATTTGGTTATCTTTAATTAAAATGAAGGATAGGTAGGATCTTGTTTTGCTTTTACACATTTGCACAGGTAGTCAATGCATGGAGGAGAGATGTGTGCGTCTTGAACAATGAAATATAATGTGCACATTTCTGGGTTTCATATATCATGACATAGAGGATGATCTTTGGGGGTTAAAAAAAAAGTTCTCCCAAATTATGACTGACATACTCTGGACCAGTATTTCTTATCCAGAGATGATTTTGCCCCCAGGAGACATTTGGCAGTGTCTAGAGACACTTTTGGTTGTCACAACAAGGGGATGCTACTGGTGTCTAATGGATAGATACCAAGGATGTGGCTAAAATCCTGTAATGCACAGGAAAGCTCCCATGACAAAAAGTTATCCGGTCGAAACACCAGTAGTGACGAGGCTGAGAAACCTGGTGAGCACTGTGAATTAAAGTGGCAATTTTAATGACAGGCAGTTGTAATGGTGGCCCTGCAAAACTAGGTTTTAGGCCCATTTTAGAGAAGCCATGGGCCAGGGGACTAGAGAGGGATTTAATAGGGAATTTCATGAAGTTAAATAGCTGGGACTGGGGCTAAGTTCTCAGCATATCCCAAGTTGAATGGAGGCTGTGCATCTGTGTAGGAGAGGCCAGAGCAGGCTGCAGCCTCCCACATGTCCTTGGATAGTGAAGCTGACACATGTGGCAAAAGAAATGAGGACCCAGAAGAAATTAAAAGCTGGGGCAGACCTGAAAACAGTCCAGTTTTGAAGGTGTCTCCAGCCCACACACAGGTCCTTCTGCAGAGAATGGAAGCCTTAATAGCTAAAGTGTTTGAACACAATCTTTTACTAATAATTGACTGAAAGCTATAGTTAGCAGATGAGAAAAAAAAAAAAATTCTGGGCAGAGAGATCAGCAACTGCCCATGTAGAGGAGACAGGAGTCACAGAATTAGTCCAGGAAAAATATTAAGCAACCAACATGATAACAATCCTGGGGTAAGAGGTCACACAAACTTTCCAGGTCAGAGGCCCCAAAATAAACCTCAATAAATTAGAGAGGACTGGATTCATACAAAGTATGCCCTCTGACCACATAGAAATGCCTACCAGGAAGAAATCTCCAAATATTTGGAAATTAAGTAATATGCTTTGAAGCCCATGGATCAAAAAATACATCACAATAGATATGTAGAAAGTTTGAACTCAATGAAAAGAAAAATGTATTAGGTGCAATGTTTACAGGGAAATGTATAGTTGTATTTTTTTATCGTTACTGTTTATTTTTGCCATTCTGAGAAGTGAACCCAGAGGCAGTTGACCACTTGAGCTACCTCCCCAGCCCTTTTTTATATTTTATTTTGAGACAGGCTGAACTGATGTCAAATTTGTGATCCTTTGGTCTCAGCCTCTTGAGTTACTGGGATTACAATGGTATGCCACTGTACCCAACAGGAAATGTGTAGTTTTAAATGCCTATGTCAGAAAAGAAGAAAGATCTCAATCAATAACCTAATTCTCCAACCCAAGAATCTAATCTATACCCAAACAACAGTGAAAACCAATGAAACCAAACCCAAAGTTAGTTCTTTTTTTTTTTTATTTGGTTGTTCAAAACATTACAAAGCTCATGACATATCATCTTTCATACATTTGATTCAAGTGAGTTATGAACTCCCATTTTTACCCCAAATACAAATTGCAGAATCACATCAGTTACACATTCACATTTTTGCATAATGCCATATTTGTGACTGTTGTATTCTGCTGCCTTTCCTATCCCCTACTATCCTCCCTCCCCTCCCCTCCCATCTTCCCTCTCTACCTCATCTGTTGTGTTCAGTTCTCTCCCTTGTTTTTTTTTATTCCCCCCCTTTCCCCTCACAACCTCTTGTATGTGATTTCGTAAACATTGAGGGTTTCCTTCCGTTTCCATGCAATTTCCCTTCTCTCTCCCTTTCCCTCCCACCACTTGTCTCTGTTTAATGTTAATCTTTTCCTCATGCTCTTCCTCCCTGCTCAGTTCTTAGTTGCTCTTCTTAAATCAAAGAAGACATTTGGCATTAGTTTTTTAAGGATTGGCTAGCTTCACTTAGCATAATCTGCTCTAATGCCATCCATTTCCCTGCAAATTCCATGATTTTGTCATTTTTTAGTGCTGCGTAATACTCCATTGTGTATAAATGCCACATTTTTGATATACATTCATCTATTGAAGGGCATCTAAGTTGGTTCCACAGTCTAGCTATTGTGAATTGTGCTGCTATGATCATTGATGTGGCAGTATCCCTATAGTACGCTCTTTTAAGGTCTTCAGGGAATAGTCCGAGAAGGGCG